AGCAGCTCAGTCATAAGATGTTGTTATGGGAACTTGTACATTTTAAGTTCTGTGTCTTAAATAGGAGGTTTGCACATTTTACTATCACTAAAGGCAGAGGTGTCACTAAAAGCCACAAAGCCCTGGGCCTAATTTTAAACCGGGCCACCTAATATCTTAAACTCTTAAACGTTTTTTTTTTTTCAATAATGATTCCAAATCAAACAAATATACATTGTCCAGCAAATCATTGCTTTACATTTGTGCCCAAACACTTACAATCATCATGTTTCTGAACAGCTACTTCCAAGTCTCTCAGCTCAGCTTCCCTGAACTTCCTGTCCAGTACACGCTCACAAAGGATAGTGCAGACTCCAGTAACTGTTCATCTACAAGCTTGGAGGAGGGAAGAGAAGGGGCCAGTGGGGAGGGAAGTAGCTTGATTTGCTGTGTTTGAGTGTTTGTGGGAACACACACAACTCACTAGCACACACAAGGGTGACTGCATAGCATTCTGCTTGAGAAAGGAGTCACTCTAAAACAGGAAGTCAGGACCAGTGCTCAGAGGACCAGCTGATTCTACAGGAAACTAAAACTTTTAACATCAAGGAGTAGCATCCATTGTAAGTGATTTCAGCAGCATTGGAAATAGCTTAAAATCCTTTTGACTTAAATATCACTTTAAGATAATGCTGTTTTGACATTTGGGTAAAAATCCACCTTTTCAATCTGCATATGTCTACTAAAGACTTAAAGCCTATGTACAGGTAAAAAGACACAAGCTGCCCCCACACTATAAGAGTTCACTACTCATTTGTATCTAGAGGTATTGTGTAAAGGACTCCTACTTATCTGTTCCTACAAGCTCCAAGACTGGCCTCCGCAGTTTCTCCCCCCTTTCACTCCAGCAGTCGGAGGCCTGCTTACATCATCACTTCTAATGCAGGGCCCATAGTTCTGCATTATACCTGAAGATGCCATGCGACATAAGCATGCACAAACCGAAGTGTAGGGCTGAGAGGAGAGCGCTGACTGCTGGGGATCATGTCAGTAAAAGACCTTTACATAAATCCCCTAGACATTAATGAGCAGTTAACCCTTAAAGTGCAGGGGTAGCCCCACTGCAAGAGGAGTTTTTTTCAATACTTGGAGATAGGCTTTTGGCAGCTATTAAGACAAAGGAAAAGGGGTGAAGGTAAGTAGAAATGCTGCTTTATTATGTACACAATGAAAAGCGAGTATACAGCTGGTAGATGAGGCCTCATGGTAGGGGCCCCTGACTCAATGGCCCAGAAGAAGCTGCCCTCTCTGTCCCCCTTATTGTTATATCCTATGTAAAAGGATAACAATACACTGGACACATTTAGAATAAGTGCTTATTAAAGAATGTATAGAGAAACCTGTGGAACAGAGTGTTATCAAATAATTACGTGTATATAATCATTGAACTTAAAAATTGAAAAGCTGATTTATGGATGAACTGATTTCACCTATTTTAGGTCTGCTGCCTTATGACTTATTTTTTAAAACAAGACTAACGAGTCAACCAGCCAGCCAGAGTCTAGGTAATATTTTTCTGACATACCTATGTACATAAAACCAATTACCTGAATGTTTTCTATGGGTTTTTTTTCTTTTACTCCAGTTTATATTACTGTCTTGTTTTAAAGTTAAGATAAATTGCTGAAATACAAATAAGTGGTATTTAAGAAAAGTCAACCTATATATTTGTTATGGCAAATCGGTTGCATATGCAAAGCAAGATCAGCGTTCTAGAGCAGCCTGAAAGATTATAACCATGAAAGCTTCTTACATTCACCATGGCATTGCTGAACAATCAGCAGTGGAAAATCATTGCCCTTTTTAACAAAATATTTACATCTCTGACTCTACAAGAGACAAATGTACAGAGCTAGTAGCTCTGCAAACTGCAGGTAAGTTCTTGAATGGCTTTGCCAGTCTGAATTTAGTGTTAATCAGGATGTTGACAGGCTCTGTAGCAACAAGTTACTTTAAATAATGAGGTGATACATGTCAAAGTGCTCTTATGACAGATTGTCTTTAAATATAAGCTAGCACTTATTAGTAGTACAGCTTTCAGAACCTTGGTTAAAGCCCACCCATCTCCGGGCAAACCAATAAGCTACCCTTGCAATATAAAGCAAAGTAAGTAAGTTTGGTAAGTCATAATCCATTTTTGTTTTCGGTCTAATGATAAACTTGAATTTTTAGCATTTCTGTCTTGTATGGCATTTTTAGAATCAATTGTAATAACCAAATGGTACTGGTTTTAACATACTTCTCAATGTAGCTCATTATTTGTCCCCAACTGATTATGACAGAGTCACACAGAGTAATCTACTTAGAAAAGCAAAACATCTCATTCATGAAAAAGAGAGATGAAAGTTAGAGGTGTTGCCAAATGCAACAATTCATGTTCCAGCCATTATTTTTCTAGTGCAATCCTAACTGATTGCAATGGGGAACACCGCTGTTTTCTGCGCGGAAGCTTTCGGAAATTATGCCCATTGTGAAACTGTTATTACGGGAAACTTTGCTATAAATTTGGAGCATAACTAGATTTTGAAATCTGGTTTACCAGGAGTAAGACTCACATAGAATAATATTTTGATTTTAAAAATATTTATGACCTTTTCAGCTTAATGATGGTGTCTCTTTAAGTGTCCCTTTGGTGTCTGAAGTCCTTGGACCCTAGCAGTCAGAAGTGGGAGCATTGATTTGTGAAGGGCCTCTAATAGCAGTGATAACTAGCTGTATAATGTAACATGTCCCTAATCTCTGACTGTCTATCACAAGATGACTTAATTCTCCAACCATTCCTGTAGAACAGTCTTTGACCATTTCCTCTAGTAAGTCTTCATTCAATTACAGTCTTCTTCAGCATTACCTATAATAAATATTTTATACGGCCCCCTATACAACATACTTGTGTCCGAGTGATATAAAGTAAATTAGGAATTTGTATTTAGCAAGCTTGTCCATAATAATTAAAAAAAAATCACTTCCCACTACATATGTATTACTGGAAAGAGAAAATGGCAGACATTAGTAGATGTCTGCCTGTTAAATGATAAAGCACATTTGGTTCTATGAACAATATACAGTCAATCTTTCAAGGAGATCATATGCACAAATTTGTTTTACAAGTAGTTCTGTGTGTATTAATACGGAGATCTCTGAAGTGATGGCATTGCATGACAAGTGTTAATTTCTTGCTTCAGAGCTGTTCAGTTGGGCCCGTAAAGGGGTCTATTTGGCCTGTACACTAAGCAAGACATTCAGATATTGGGAACACAACATCTTCAGTTATGTTCCCACCGCTTGTCCAGCTGAGAGAGTAAATAAAATGGCTTTTGTGATATCCAGAATCTAATATTATTCCCAGTGGGGTATTCTGTCATAATGCTTCTTCCTGACAAATATTCATTAAAGTTTTAACCTATCATTTACTCCTACATGAACTGTGCTGCTTCTTGTATGTCATTCTGTGAATGACATCAGTTCAGTTATGTTTATTTGCCTACATCGCTACTATTCTGAGATGAGGGAAGGTCCTGGATCCCAGACCTATGTGCTTTATTTTGTTTAATCTTCTTAGACTTTCTTCTCTATATCACTGGCTCCAGTACTGTTGATGCTTAGATGCCTCTTCAACTCTGGACTCTACCACAAGAGATATGATATAAATACAATAACAGTAGCCTTCTAGGTAACACCACAGTTGAGATACCCTCAACAAAGTTCCCCTTTGCTTTAAGTACAGAGATGTGCGTAAAATCCACATGACCCCGCTTTATAATCAGCACAGGGACCTTCAGAGGTCCGATTCAACCCCTGGACTGCTTGAACCTTCGGACCTTGAAGGCCCAGGAGTTTCCTCCTTGATGCCATATGTAGTTATAACGTAGCCTAGGGATACTAATCCTTTTTGGCAAACAGTTTCTTTGATATCATCAACTTCTGTCTATTGCTTTACTTGAGGTACCATGGTTTGGCATTAATAATTGCTATGTTTAGGTATATGAGGTTAAAGCAGATAAATCAGTGCAATATTATCAGTGCTAGATGACCTTAATTGTTATAGATACAGTAACTAAGTGTATTATACAGTTCTGTGTTATGCCTGTTATATAGAGTATGAAAAATGGTTGTTCTCAGTGTAAAACATGACCTTTGAGTGTTATACAGTATATCAGTTCCTTGTGTCCCTGATTTGGTAGCCTTTTTTGAGTGTCAATGTGCCAGTACTGATTCCTGACTGGCAGATACAATTTTTCTACCCTGGTCTTTGATGAGGGAAGACAAGCTGTCCATTTACTGCAAAGTGCATAGGAACAACTGTCACAAGCATTCATGAACCACTTGTGTAGTAGTGCAGTTCAAGCAGGTGACATGACAACACCAGTGAAAGGTGCAATGACAACGTTCAGTGACTTTTTCAGCTCGGCTCCTGTAACCACGCCCGCAACACAGAAGTTCACAGCCATCCAGGCCTAAGGAGGTGCTGTTACATATTCGTCCTGTTGTACCTGGCGTTCCAGTTTTTTCACTGGCACTGCAGAAGTTTGGGGACTTCTCAAAATATACAAGATCTCTAACAGAAGGCATCGCATGAGTGGGGTTCTCTGGTTCCAGGTGTGGCACATCACTTCGAGAACTACCACGGTTGCTGCCGTTGTTACTGTATGTGACTTTAGAAGCACCATCAAAGCGGTCTTTTAATGCATCGCCAACTGCTCGGAAGGTGGGAAGGCGCATCCAACAGGTTCGTAGGGAGCAGGATCCTGACATTCCATGACATTTGCATTCCTGCCGCATCTCTGACAGTACTGTCTGAAAAGCATAGAGAGAGAAATTGACACAATGTTCCAAAATTCACACATTAATTTAGTAAATAATCACAAATTACAAGAATAAGAACATGGAGTGTTCATGATAATGGCTTTTAATAATATTATAAATAATCAAAAAGGATATAATTATCATGATGTATCATTATTATGTTAACATAATATATCATCAGTATGTTGTGACCGGATCTCTGTCATATAGCAAACAAGTTGTCATATAGGACAGTACTGTAATGTTTAATGGTAAACCTTATAATTGCCATCTGATAACCACTTTATTTTTCTACCTTATAAAAAGAGGATTAAATTAAAATTGGTAGTGCTAAGTGGGATTCCAACATTTTTCTTGTTTGACCTTTGGATGGAGAGGGCATGTCTTTTGCGGTAATGGTCCCTTTTGAAGAGATTTCCTCTCACTCTCTCTCCCGGTGACCACTGGAAACAGAGGAGGAAGTGAGGGAAAATCTCCACGAAGGAGACATATTCAACAATAAAAACTTGACAGTTCGAACCCTTCCCACTCTACTATATAAAAGAGTGCCTGTTGGGGAGATTTTATTTATTTTTCTATCTCTGTGACCACTGTCACTAGGGCAGGAAGTAAGGGAAATCCTCTGGGGAATACATTTGTCAGAATGTTCAATGCATTGTCACTATAGTCAAAGCATACAAAAGCACTTTTGGCTGGTGGTACTATTTAAGCTACACATAGATTTGACACAGTAGCAAAACAATATGTGTATGAAGATAAACAATGAGTACTTGAATTCCCAAAGCAATTACATTCAGGCATTAGATAGAGATGTTGTCAGCTTTATTTAATCACCAGCAATATTGAGGACCCAAAAAGCTTTTTTTTTTTTTTGGGGGGGGGGGGGGGGGGGGGGGTTACT